CTGCCACGCCATGTGGATCTCCTCTGGGGCAGGCGGGATCGAACTCATGTGGAAGTGGCTTAAGCTTCTTTTGCAGTGCATTAATCCGCTGCGCCACCAGGGAGGGCCTTTTCCTATATATTTTTTAAAGATTTATTTATGGGTACAAGAACTGGGTGTAGTTCAGTACAGGGGGTGAAAGGATTCACCAGAGACAGAGTGGGGAGCAGAACAGGCAGATCCACTGGAAATACACTGCTGAGGGGAACAATGGGAGAGACAAGGGAGGTCTGCTGTGCCATGTGGGTCAGCTTCCTCACCTACAGCTTCATAGTAGTGAGACTTAACCTCTTGTGCTACCAGGTAGGCCTGGACTACCTACTTTAACATCTTACAGATTTGTAAAGTTCCAAATATTCCTACTTATTTAACTTGTTATTGTAAATGAAGTTTCTCTTTTTTACATGTTCTAACTAGATGTGTTCATAGATTTAAATGTCATCAGTTTTTTGTATTGATTTTATATGTTGCTGCTTAATACATGAATTCTTTTATTGCTGAGTCTGTTTTTACTCTGCTTTCATGTAACCTACAAACAGGGATATTTAATTTAATTTTTCCAATCTTTATGACTTAAATTGTTTTTTAACCGCAGTGAAATTACTTCAATAGGAATGACTTCACAAAGATATTGATTTTAATGAGACTTGTTTGTAACAACATACAATCATTTTAAGAAGTGATCAACTCACATTTATATTTTCTTAAATTAGGGATATTGAATTTTGTCAAATTTAGATAACTGGAGAAATGTTTTTTTTTTTTTTTTTACTATAGTATAGCTAATTACATTAATGTATTACCCTCTATAAACTACCTACAGAATAAAAGCCTCTTGGTGCATTTTTTTAGATTTATTCATTTGTGCATTCAAGAAATAGGGCACAGGCCAGAGGTGTGGGGATGGGAGGGTGTGTATGTATGAGAGGATTCACCAGAGACAGAGTGGGGAAGAGGATCAGAGAATCTACTGAAACACTACTGAGGGGTTTGTTTTTAATGTGCTTACTTGCTAATATTTCATTCATGTGACTTTTTAGTTTTTGTGTGCTATCTTTACTAGGTTTAGATGTTTGTTAAATTTGCTTCACAAAATCATCTTTTTTTTGTTCTCTCTGAGGCAATTTGGATAATCTTAGTTTTTTTTTTTTAATTTATTTATGCACACAAGAACTGGGATACAGGGCAGAGGTGCAGGGAAGTGGGGTTGAGAGGATTCACCAGAATGGGGAACAGAACAGGCAGACTGAAACACTGCAGAGGGGAGTCCAGGGTAGGACAGGACAGGTCTGCTGTGCCATGTGGGTCGGTGGGGGATTGAACTACACTGAAGCAGCAGTGGCTAGCTTCCTAGTGCTGAGTCTTTCACTTGTCACACCACAAGGGAGGGCTACCCCCACCTTATCTTTCAGTGTAAACTTCCATAAAACGAAAACACTAATTTCGCCCATTCATCCACTTAATTTCAAATTAACTGGGTGGCAAGGTCAATAGGCTAAGATACAAAAAATACCAAAAAATTGTTGCTATTTGGGGCAGCGTAAATGGCATTGGATAGAATATTGCTAAGTGGAAATTAGTAAGACAAATATGCGGAGATTTCATGCATGTGGAATGTAAATATGTGAAATCTGACTGCAAATTTGAGTCTACCAGAGGGCAGGGTAGGATAAGGTAGGAGACAAACGGGAAAAAGATCAATGGATGGTGGGTGCTCTACAATGGATATAACATTTATGTTACTGTGTAGCTCTGTACAGTGAACCCAGTATTTTCTCAGTAAGAAATGATATAGTAAAAAATGCTCTTAGGAAATCTCAGGATTGTAAATTTATTACAAAAACAAAATGGAAAATAAAGCAAAATGGTTGAAAGTGAGATAAGGAAAGTAGGTTTGACCTCAGCAATGGACATATTTTGAATAAACCTCCAATTTATACAAGTAGTTTTATAATGGTCAAATACATGTGCTTCATAGTTCTTAAGGTGCTGTGAACTTCTAATGAAGTGATATCCCAAAATACAAAGATGATTTCTTTATATAGTTCAAAGGCCTTTTTTTTTTTTCATGTTTTTTTCCAAAGGCCTTTATCTCTCCCATTCCTTCCCACCCCAACCCCCCAATAAAATTTACAGGGAATGTCTACTAGCTCAGGCTCCTTTCCATTGGTTCTCACAACTCTGGGTGGGGCAGGCTGGCACTTCACTGAACCCAAGTTCAGCTGAAGTTTGGCTTTTTTTCTGCCTGATCACTTGTTCTCACACTTCAGGAAGCTATACTGGCTCTTAGAATGCTTAATATGCTCAATATTAACATTCTCTTGGCACAAACCTTGCCCTTTATTTATTTACAAGGCCAACTTGCATGCTGGGCAACATTAGACTCCTCCAGTTTTGACATGGCGATATTTGTGGGGCATTTCTTTTGGAATAGTGTCCATCCCCTTGATGTCTATTATCACTTTTCTTGTAAATGTTTGTTGTGGCCAAAGGAAAAAGTCCATGTTTTAAAAAGGCCTAGAGAACATCATTTTAGCGATTTATTGGAGAAGTTGGCAGTCCAACAGGAGACAATTATTCTTCTTGAATCCATGGGTTATGGCTATATTACAATAACTTTCATTCTAAGGTAAACTTGCCTATATCTGAATTTGTATGTACAATTGTATTTTCTTTTGTATTCTAAAGTTTTTCTTCAAATTCTTCTTTCTTCTTTCCATACTATTTAAAATGAAAGATTTACTTATCTATGCATACAAGAAAGAGGGTGTAACACCAGAAATGCAGTGGGTGAGAGGATTCACCAGAGACAGAGTAGGGAGCAGACAGATTGACTTGAAATGCACTGCTGAGGAGAGCAGTAGAGAGACAGGAGGGGTCTGCTGTGCTTATGTGGGTCAGCTCCCTGGCTAGGGATAGAACTTGTGTTGCAGTGGATGCCAACAGATTGATTGCCACCAGAGATCCCCCCTTACAACGTTGGCTTTGTGAAGGCAAACTATTATTTTTCCTTTAGCACCCTGTATGGTATTGAATAGACCCACACTATTTACAACTTAGCCCACAAAAAAAGAAGGGAAGGAAGGAAACTAAGGTTTCTTAAAGATTGGAGATGACTACATATTCAGTTATAAATAAAAGTACTAAGAAACAGGAAGGGTTGGCACCATAATCATCCCACTGTACTACAATAAAGAGACACTCATTTTCAAAGAAATTAACTTTTATTTGAAAGTTAAGACTACTTTCCCCCACATGTTATCATCTAAGGACTCATACTATACAACAGCCTGCTTGTTCCAATACTGAAATTTCTAACAGCAAAGTATACAATTGCTCTAGGTAATAAATAATAAGAGTTATCCTTCACTGATTAAGGGAATACTTAAACTTCAAAAATTCAACACAAAAATCACATTTTAAGTCTGTAAATTTTAACACAAATTTTCTAAATACAACATGTTTGTAGGAGTCCACAAGCTTTTCATCTCTAAAAAAATGACTGATTTTTAGGGTTCAAAAATCCCATTCTTCAAAAGAAATGACCAACTGTTTTCTTCTATAAGCATCAAATTTTCTACACTCAACTATTTGACTGCTCCATGCCACCCCAAACAAACCTGACATGACTGAACTACTTTATATGTTACTATCTTCCCCAAGAAAGTTTAAAAAAGGAGTTCGTCATAAATGCAATCTCTAATACAACATCAAATACAGTATCTAACACAAAAGAGGCTTTAAAAAAAGCATTTCTTTCTTCATCTGATTAGCCAGGCGTTAACTTTCTATAAAAGCAAAGAAAAATTATTTAAAAAGCTTAACACTGGGCATTCCTTTTTTTTACTCAAGATGTTTCAACTCACAAAATGACAACAATTACATCTTATTTAAGAGTATAATTAAAGGGGTGAGAAACAGCAATACAACTGACAAAGTATAGATGCTAAACAAAGTGTAGATTGTTTTTTAAAGGTTCTTTTAAAAGCAACAGTCAGGATTAGAAGCTTGGGGAAATCCAGAACTAAACACAAAAAGAATGAAAATAAAGTAAAGAGACAATGTCTTCAACAGCAACTATTCCTTTTATCAGTAACGCCCTGAAAGAAAATAAAAAGCCAATTAGTTTGGTTTGCCTAGTATTTCCTCAACTAGTAGCAGTTCCCATATACCCAAATTATGTAAAAAAACCAAACCATTATTTAGAAATAAGATTACTAATGCAACAAATGAAAAGGTGTACATACTTGGGCTGTAGGAACGAGATCTTGATCGTGATCTATAGCGACTATAATAAGGAGAAGGAGATCTTCTTCTGTAAGAAAAAGATGAGTCAGTATACAAATGATGCCTCAAAACAAAGGCAGGAAAATAAAAAACAAACAAAAACAACAAAAAACAAAGAAAAAACCAAGGTCCTATACATGTCAATGATGCTAGAATAGTAAGCACAATCTCTGTTCTCAGTCTTGAAAAGTCAATTTTCACCCACTTTTCTCAAGAAGGCACCACGAATTTATTTTAAATATTTTTATTATCATGTATCAAATACAGTTTAAAAGTGCCAACTACTATTACTACCTTCTAATTTAGAATAGAAACCACAAGCTAAAACTTTACCTGTACCGGTAATCATAGTCTTCATATCTGTCATAGCCTCGATCATATCCTCTATCATAGTAAGAGTCTCGCCGGCGGCCACCTCCTCCACCGCCGCCACCGCCGCCGCCGCCACCGCCGCCGCCGCCACTACTACAGAAAAACGTGTAAGTTTTACATTAATGTGAAAAATTGTTTTTCCAGTATCATTTGGCGTCTAAAATAAAAATGGAGGGAAGATAAAGGAGAAAGAACAATCCTTTCATGTGAATTACTGCCATGTCAAATTTTGCTTATTACTTCCATGGTAACTGAAGAGCAGGGATGTAGGCCAGAAGTGTGAAGGGTAAGAGGATCCACCAGAAACAGAGTAGGGAGCAGAACAGGCAGACTGACTGAAACACACTGCTACACTGAGGGGTGCAGTGGGCTAGACAAGAGGTCTGCTTGCACTTGTGGGTCAGCTTCCAGGCTGGGGATCAAGCGTGTGCTGCTGATAGCTCAGCACGATAGTGCTGAGACTTAACCCCTTGTGGCAACAGGGAAGCCCTGGTTGTGAATTTAAATTCTTTAGCCTTTTCTCCTGCTATTTTTCCCATTTCTAATCACAGTGACACTAGCTTTAGTTTTCCTTGCCAAATCCCACATTTCTTCCAGTAAAGTCTCAAAATTTAAAGAAAGCCTAAATGCCTTCTTTCACTATAAAGAAAGTTTTTTTTGGTGTATATTAAAAAAAAAAAAAAAAGATAAAGGGGTGGGGGACTCAGTCCAATGTTACTGGTGTTTTGGCCTGAGTTTGTTCACCTGCCAGGGAGCTAAACCACACATGGAACAGCAGACCTCTCTCTTCTCTTGTGTTACTGCCCATCTTGGCAGTGTGTTACAGAAAATTTGCTTCTGTTACCACTCTGGTGAATCCTCTCACTGCCCAAACCTCTGCCTACACCCCAGTTCTTGAATGCATCAATCAACAAAACAAAACAAAACAAAACAAAAAAGTCCCCTGTTATGTACTCTGCTAAGTGAAAACTGGCTCCAGGCCCTCCCTGGTGGGGCAGCAGGTTAAAGCATAGCACTATGAGACGTTCTAGAGCCACTGCATCCTGAGTTTGATCTCTATCTCACTTTATCTCACACTCTGCACTTCTGGCTGGCACCCTAGCTGTTGTATGCATAAATAAATGTCTTAAAAAAGAAGAAGAAAATTGGCTCCCCCCTTCACTAAATGATAATTTGCAAGATACTTTCTCATATACAAAGGCTTCTGAGACCACCTATGAGAAAGAACATTTTAAAAAGATTTATTTATCTATGCACCGAGAACTAGGTACAAGCCAGAGGTGCAGGGCAATGAGAGACTTCATCAAAGACAGAGTGGGGAGCAGAACAGGCAGAATGACAGAATACACTGCTGGGGGGAATAGTGGGCAGGTCAGGAAAGATCTGCCGTACCATGTGGATCATCTCTGGGGCTGGGGATCAAACTTGCACTGAAGCGGTTTTGGCTTGCTCACAATGCTGCGCTAAAACCCACTGCACCATCAGGGAGGGCCAAAAAAGAATATTTTTAAAAGCATACAATACTGTTCTGGCATTTAATAATTTAATTTATATAGTACCAACAAGAACCAGCAATGTACTTTGCAAATGTTTTCTCATTTTTGAATGTTTACCAGCGCAGATACATATGTATACCAAAAATAAAATGGTTCATAAAATGATCCAAACAAGTACAAATTAAATGTTCAATTCTAAGAAAGTCACTTAATCAACTGAGTGAGTAAATCAATGTTTTGCACATGTCTGGTAAATTTCTGGCTTAGTTTAAGCTTAGGAAACTTGATATCTTACTGAGTTGGTCTGCCCATGTAGATCCCTGGTGTGGGTGTGTGTGCTCTCTTGGTAATAGAATAATCCACACGAATTCTTCTACCATCCAGCTCCATTCCATTTGCCCTTTCCATAGCCTTCAAAGGAGAACATACAAAGAACATGTATAATTCACCAAGGAGAAACTATCAATACCAAAAGGGAAACAAATTTAACTATTTTAAATTTGAAAAATCAAAATTCTCTAAACACTTCTTTAAGCATCAGGGGTTAGGAGTTTATATATCCCTGTTAATCACATCAGTAGAACTGAGTTCTGTGAGTTATACAGAGGTCTGTGCTGAAAGTTTGGGGTGAGCTATAGCCAGAGAAGGGACCACATAATTCAAATTTTGCATAACTCTGAGGCTGCAATAACTGGTTTCAGTCTAGGCAATTCAAAACAAAACTGCAATTCAGCCAGAGAAGTCTAAATTACTCAAGCCATTCCTTAAGTAACACACTGCCACCTAGTGAATTCCAAAGGTAAAGGAAACCTGGCAGCAAATATGCTCTTGTGTTTATTCTGGGGCTCTCATTTTTTATTTATCTTTTGACACTAATGCCAATAAATGTCATAGTAATTCAGTCATTTTAACAAATTTGCAAGCAATTATTTGGAACTAAGTTGCCATTTTCACTTTATTTTATTCATAAAATACTGACAAAAATCTGAATGCCCATAAGAATATCTATTTTTCAAATTCAGCATTATTGACACTGAGGCTGCTAATTCTATGTTGTGGATGACTTTTCTCTGCATTGTAGGGTGGTTAGTACCATCCTTGGTCTCTACATACTATATCCAATAGCAACTATTTAAAATTTAACTTTTGCAATCACTATTTATGTTACAATCAAGCAATGCTAATGCACAAAGCAACAATGAGCTACATTCATATTAGCACATATAAAACTGTACTATTTTAAGATGGTAAAGAAATGCCAGTACCTGCCACTTAAAGTTTGATTAAGTTTTGAGTTTCATATTTCTAAAAATGGAATTATTTCTAACTCATTTATGATGAAGTTTAATATACAGAAATCAAAGCTACTGGTGCCTTAATCATGCAATACCTTATATATTAGAATAGCACTATTTCAAATCTCTGAGGAAGATGATCAAGATAATTTAGTTTTAATTAAGAACGGCACAAAAATGATACATCAATTCTTTTCATACTGCTAACTTTTTTTTTTTTTTTTTAAAGATTTTATTTTATTTGTGCGTACAGAACTGGGATACAGGCCAGAGATGTGGAGGGTGAGAGAATTCACCAGAGTCAGAGTGGAGTGCAGAACAGGCAGATCAACGAAATACACTGCTGAGAGGAGCAGCGGGCGGGTCAGGAGAGGTCTGCCACGCCATGTGGTCACCTCCAGGGCAGGCGGGAATCGAACTCATGAGGAAGCGGCTTTAGATTCTCAGTGCTGTGCTTTAACCCGCTGCGCCACCAGGGAGGGCCTATACTGCTAACTTTTAATTATGAAGCAGAATAGTTGATAATTATTACATTTAAATCATAATTCTAAAAAGTCAACTTTGTCATCTGCTTGGAGTATGTTGTCCTCTGCTTGTTGTCCTCAAAGACAACACTTAACACTGTACTTTTTCCATTAACTCAAACACTTTACAAGGTGAGACTGTGATCAGGATATGCCTATAAATAGTTAAACTGGCCATTCCAATTGTAACAATGAGAGGTAGAGTGAAAGTGGACACGCTTAAGGAACTAGGTCTGAGTCTACTAATCAACTTTTATCAATAAACTCACTCAAGAATCAGGCGGAGAAATTTTCAAACTGACAACTGTAAAAACAACATTACCTCTTTTGAGTCATCTATCCTTTCAAAATAAACAAAAGCAAATCCTCGAGATCTTCCAGTTCGCTGATCATAAACCACATTGACACCACTCAATGGTCCATATCGAGAAAATACTTCACGAAGATCCCTCTCTGTTGTATATAAACTGAGGCCAAACACTCCAAGACAGGTGTTGGGATCTGGATTTGCCTGTTAAATAAAATTATTAATTTAAAATTTCACATTAAAATAAAAATCAAAACATACAAATACTCTGCTTACCATACCTCACAATTACACAAAATCACTGCTTCAAGTACCTGGAAATCAGTATAACGCGGGAAAAAAGCCAAGTATTTAAAAAAAGATGTGTCAAGAGTCAAACAAATAGTTCAAGGGAACCCTGAGCTCTGCTAGCTAATCAAGAAACAAAAAAACATATAACATGGTAATTTGCCTCATGTAGATGCTAAGAATATTAAATATAGTGAAGATTTTGCACAGTGCTCAATGTGTTTGCTATTATTACAATTTTCAGTAGTCCTCCTACTGTCACCCACTGCATAGTAAAATTTCTCACTATCAACTCAATTTGTACATTTTGTTTTCATTCATGGAACATAAAATTTATTCTCCAAATTCATCTTTTAACTTTTAACTATTGAAAGGTCAGGGTAAAAAAAAAAAACTTAAAATGTATATATGAGCAATATTCATACTCAAGAATTTTCTGAAATCAATCAATCATTTTTAAAACAATTGCTTTCTCACCATTTCCTATCTTCAGATATGCCACAATTAAATACAAGGAGAGACAAGTTTTCATTAGCTTAGAAAAAACTAAGCCCTGGTGGCTCAGGGGTTAAATTTCAGTACTATCATGACAGCCTGAGTTCATTCCCTGGCCAGGCAGCTAACCTATAAATGGTCAGCAGACATCTCCTGTCTTGCCCACTGATCCCCTCAGCAGTGATATTTCAGTAGATTTGCCAGTTCTGTTCTCCAAGCTATCTCTGGTGAGTCCTCTCACTCCCTGCATGGCCAGACTACACCCCAGCTCTTATATGAATAAAACCAAAAATCTACAAAACAAACAAACCCCAAAATAAACACCACCCCCTCCCCAACATACCCTGCTGCCTGTATGTCTTCTCCGGTTAGACATTGGAGAATGACTTCGGCTCCTCCGACGCCGGTATTCAGGTGTGTATGACCTACTTCGAGATCGTCTCCTGTGAGAGTGAGAATGGGATCTGGATCGAGTGTAACGTCTATGAGAATGCCTCCGTGACCTCGACCTTTAAGAGAAATAAACTGAGGTGAAAATATGGAAACCAAAGGTTAACACCAAAAGATCTAACCATATCCCTGAATATTTTCAAGAACTTTCTGAGGAAAAAAGGGTATGCTTCCTCTTGTTTTATTCATCACTACAGTAACTTCTCTCCTTGTTTTTAAGTCTATCCTCACTTTTTTCACTTTGCCATACAAGCATATTAAGGGTGTATATATTTAAAAAGAAAGAAAGCAAAAAGACCAAAGAACTATGACTAGAAAGGGAATGCTATAATATTCTGCAACATGTATGAATCCTGGTGACATTATGCTGAGAAAGAATGGCGGTTGCCAGAGGATGGGAGTATGGGGACAAAGGAGGGCTTAGTTGGTAGTTTGTTTCTCAAAAGGAAAAGTTACACGATGGATGGTGTGTGATGGTCTACACAATAATGTGCAGTACCACTGCACATACCACTGACCTGTATGGCTAAGGCAAATTTTATGTTGCATATTTTACCACAGTCAAAACAACCCACCCACCAACTACCACTATAATATCCTTTGAGTTTTACCTTCTCAATCTATCAGAAGTTCTATATTCCGTTCATGATTAGTGTCATTTGCTTTCCAATCTTTCTTCAGCCTCTGCAATCTAGTTTTAGCATCTGTTGAATTATTTCATCACAACCTAAAACCCTACCTAAATCTTCATTTTAAAATCCTCTATTCTTTAAACTCTCTGTGGCATCTTATCAATTTCTCTCCTTCTCCCACCTATGATTATTTCCAGTTACTCTCTGACAGTCCTCTTTTTGTGCCTATTAACCCAACAGTTTATTAACTATTCATATGACCCATCTTTATTTAACTAAACTTACCTAGACCCGTGGTGGCGACAGTCATACAAAATTACTTCTGTAAGACATTCAATAAATGCTATATAAATACTAAGGAGCAGAAACTTAAAGAGAGAGCAAACATAGTGAAGAGAAATGAAAGGTCATATGAAACAAAGCTAACAATAACAGGGCCTCTCTGGTGGCCCAAAGGGTTAAGAAATAGCATTATAAAGCTATCTGTAGTCACTGCAGCACAAGCTCGATCCCTGGCCAGGGAGGTGACCCACTTGGTACAGCAGACCTTCCTTGTCTCATTTGCTGCTCCCCTTAGCAGTGTTATTTCAGTGGATCTGCCTACTTGCGGCCCACTGTGTCTCTTCTCACTATCCCCACCCCACCCCACTGTATCTCTGACCTATACCCCAGCTCTTGTACACCTAAATAAATCTTTAATTTTCAACCTTCTCTCCATCTCCAACACCTGGGACATTTAATAATGAATCCAGCAGTAGTGGGTCACTAGACTTTTTGTTACTCTGAATCATCCAGCAATCACTACCCCACCCATATCCCAAATCCAATTGATCAGAGTTTCACCCTGGACATAGTAAGTCAGAATCTTCAGGTAAGGATATAGCTGGCAATCAATCTCAATAGTTTCCTATACCCTTGCATTAAATTACACATCAAATCTCCAATAGAGGAAAAAAATTACACAAACACTACTGAAATAAAATCAAACACTGATCCTTAAATGCCAGGCACATTTAAATACAACATTTTTTTTTTTTTTTTAAAGCTTAAGCCTTTGTTGTTTGGCCTTCAACTCTACTATCTCTCTCTCTCTCTTTTTTTTTAAAGATTTATTTATTTATTCGTACAGAACAGGGGTAGAGGCCAGAGATGCGGAGGGTGAGAGGATTCACCAGAGACAGAGCGGGAAGCAGAACAGGCAGATCGACGAAGTACACTGCTGAGGGGAGCAGTG